TTCCCCACACATGTGCAGTAGCCAGAAGTGGATCTCTTGTCGGTTATCGATTCTGCCCAATCAGCATCAGTAAAGACTTCAATATCCTTGTTTATTTTCATTTGGAAAATTAGCCATTGACCCGGTGTCCTTTTTAGGTGCCTCAAAATTTTGTACACGGCCTTCATATGTATTTCTGACGGTTGATTCATGATAACTTACTGTACTGATTGCAAAACTGAGTTCTTGTCTTATGTGTGCTAGGTATATTAGTTTCCCGACCAGTTTCTAATACCTTTCTTTGTCAACAGTCTTCTCACATTCTGTAGATCCCAGTTTCATTGTTGGATCCATAGACGTATCTACAGGTTTACAATCAAACATATTTGTTTCTTTCAGGAGATACAGGACATATTTTCGTTGTGATACGTAAATTCGTTTATTAGACCGGGCAATTTCCATGCCTAGGAAGTACTTAAGCATTCCAAGATCTTTAATTTTGAATTCCTTGACTAGAAACTCTTTATGTTTTCAAATTTCTTCAATATGATCTCCTGTGAGGATAATATCATCTACATATACAATCAGAATTGATCTTTTACCTGAGATACAGTGTTTGACAAATAAAGTGTGATATGATTGACATTACTCATACCCAATATGTTTTACAGCCCTAGTGAATCTGTCAAACCAAACTCTTGGGGATTGCTTGAGTCCATACAGTGATTTCTTGAGTCTGCAAACCTTGTGAGACTGATCTTGTACTTCTAAACCTGGTGGGATATCCATGTACAGTTCTTCTTGTAGATGACCATTCAGAAATGTATTTTTTAGATCCAGTTGACAAATGGGCCAATCAAGATTTGATGCAAGAGAGAGTAATACCCGTATTGTGTTGTGCTTGGCGACTGAATCAAAAGTCTCCTGATAGTGTATACCATAGGACTGAGTAAAACCCTTGGCCACAAGGCATGCTTTGAGTCGATTTACACTTCCATCCGAGTTGTACTTGGTCGTGAATATCCATTTACATCCAACTGGTCGTTTCTCTGGAGGTAGCTTAGACAATTCCCATGTCCCATTTTTTTTAAGAGCACTAATCTTTTCTTGAATAGCTGTACTCCACTTTGGTATTTGAAGAGCTTTATGCACTGTCTTTGGTTCTGGAGAACTGCTGTCAAGTTTGCTCACAAATGTATGATGTTTCAGAGATAGATTGCCGAATGATACATAATCTTGTATAGGATATTTTGTGCATAATCTGGTACCTTTTCTTACAGCAATAGGTAAGTCAATATCAGTAGCAGAGTCAGTAACAAGGACCTCATTACCTGTTGATTCCTTAACCATTGGAGTGAGTACGGATTCATGGCAAGTCTTGGTTGGTTTCAGTACTTGTTCCCCGCGAACTTTATTCCTTCTAGTATAGACACGTAGCTCATTTACTGCAGGTAGTGTACACTCAGTTTTTGCTACAGGTTCTGGTTCAGGATTAGGCTCTAGAGGAGGTGAATTTTGTGGGTAGATGGAAGGGATGCTGACATCCCACACTTGATATTTCTGAGTAGAATGCTCCTCCTGAATATCAATAGTGGGATAAAAAGGCTGGTTCTCAAAGAAAGTGATATCTATTATATTATAGAATTGTCGTGTTTCTGGAAAAAAGTATTTGTATCTTTTTTGATTTGACGAGTATCCAACAAAGATACACTTAAGGGCTCTTGGGTCAAGTTTCTCCCGAAGATGTGAGTGGATATGAACGAAAGTAGAACACCCAAAAACTTTAAGTGGCAGTGAGTGTAAGATATGTGAATCAGAAAAGTTCTGAAAGAGAAGATTATAGAGTGTTTGAAAATGCAAAATACGAGAAGGCATTTGATTTATCAAATAAGTCGCAGTGAGTATTGCCTTTCACCAAAAAAACTTAGGAACATGGGTAGTGAACATAATGGATCTAGCGACTTCAAGAATATGTCTGTTTTTTTGTTCGGCTATGCCATTTTGCTGAGGGGTGTATACACAAGAACTTTGGTGAATAATGCCATGTTTCTCAAAGTATTTTCCAAGAGTGGTTTCAAAATATTCACAATCATTATCAGTTTTAAGTACCTGTATAGTGGTATGAAACTAAGTTTGGATCATAATATTGAATCTTTTGAAAATGTCTCCTACTTCAGATTTTTCTTTCATTTGGAAGATCCAAGTGATTCTAGTGTAATCATCAATAAATGATACAAACCGCTTATTTCCGGATATGTTGATAACCCTGGAAGGTTCCCAAACATCACTGTGAATTAATGCAGACGGTTTGGAAGGCTTATATGGCAAACTTGTAAAAGAGTTTCGACTATATTTAGAGATTTGACATATTTCACATTGAAATAAAAGTGGATTTTTATTTTTGAACAATAAGAGAAACATCTTTTGTAGATACAAAAAGTTTGGATGACCTAAGGGATAATGCCATAATATGATATCATAATCATTATTTGATTGACTCTCAGGAACAGAATTTATACATACTGTCGTTTGAACTGTCTTCTAGAAGGGTCTGTTTGAAGGAGATACAAGCCTGAGTGCATCCTAGCATTGCCAATTGTCCTCCTCGATTCCAAGTCTTGAAATTCATACATTTTTGAACCAAATTTAACAACACAGTTTAAATCAACAGAAAGTTTGCTAACAGATAGTAAATTGCAGTCCAATTTTGGTACATAAAGTACTGAATGAATGGTCAACTGTGGTGTTAAAACAATGGAACCAATTCCAGCCACTCTGGAGATTGACCCGTCTGCAATTTTAATCGTGAAATCCTCGTCTAATGTTTTGTAATTCTGAAATAGGGATACATTATCCGTCATATGGTCTGATGTTCTAGAATCAACCATCCATGTGTCCTATTTTGAAGAACATACTGTCAAATCAATTGTTGCTTTACCTTTTTGTGCCACCGAAGCACGCACGGGCTGAGTAGGTAAACAATTCAGCTTGAATAATTGTCGAAAGACCTCCATATGTGCAGCATTGAACGAACTGCTTTCTGCAACATTTTCTTCAACAGTGGAAGCAACAATATTTCCTTGACAGTTTTCATTGCTCTCTGTTCTTTCAGCCTTATTCTCGCTGGGTATCCCGTGCAACTTCCAGCATTTCTCGCGGACATGGCCGAGTCTCCTGCAGTGATCACAATACGGTCTTCCCTTCTTTCCACGAGAATCAGACCGCGTGGTGAGTGCAAAGGCACTTTCAGCAAAGTAGATAGGCTGAGCTTCTCCCATCATCACCTGCCTCCTGCTCTCTTCTCTCTGGATTTCCGCGAACACTTATCGGATGCTAGGTAGTGGTTTCATTCCCAGCACTCGTCCACGAACCTTATCCAGACTTTTGTTGAGCCCCATCAAGAATTTGAAGATTCTTTTTTGCTCAACAAAGAGTCTAAATATTCGAGCATCATTTGGACAACTCCATTGATGCTCCTCGAAGGTATCCGGTTGTTGCCAGCTTCGGGTTAGTAAATTAAAGTATTGGGTAACAGAAAGCTCACCCTGACGCAGCTCATGGAGAGTCGACTCCACCTCGAAGATGGCGGAGACGTTATCTTTGCTGGAGTACGATTCGCGAGCTGTTTCCCAAATTTCCTTCGCTGTTTCATATAGCATGAAGTTCTCACCAATGTCGGGTACCATTGAGTTAATAAGCCACGACATTACCATGCTATTCTCTATTTTCCAGACGTGGAAACTTGGGTCGTTGGTTGCGGGAGGGATAGTTTCACTTGTGAGGTAATCGTCGCGGCCCTTGCCGCGAATAAACAGTAAAACAATAAATTAAAGTAGTGGGTAGCAGAAAGCTCACCCTGACGCAGCTCATGGAGAGTCGACTCCACCTCAAAGATGGCGGAGACGTTATTTTTGCTGGAGTACGATTCGCGAGCCATTTCCCAAATTTCCTTCGTTGTTTCATATAGCATGAAGTTCTCATCAATGTCGGGCACCATTGAGTTAATAAGCCATGACATTACCATGCTATTCTCTATTTTCCAGACGCGGAAACTTGGGTTGTTGGTTGTGGGAGGGATAGTTTCACCTGTGAGGTAATCGTCGCGGACCTTGCCACGAATAACAGTAAGACAGAGGTTGACCATTGAAGGTAGTTCTGTCCATTCAGTTTGTGCTCCGTGATGAACGATGATGCCTGCTCAACTAGGCTGTGGTTCGGAGTTGCGGGGAGGTAGGAACCTGAAGAGACTTCGGGATGAGAGGAGTTGATCTCGTTTGTGGCCATTTGAATTCTGGCTCAGATGAAGGAAGCTCTCATATCAGAGCTCTGATATCATGAAGAGTTTTTCGAATGGAGATTTTCGTGAAGGAATTCTCCCTTTTTTTTCGTATATTATAATTTCAGGCACCAAAAGGTGTTATTTATAGAAGAAAAAACAGACATCTTTTCAGAAATGTGAGGAAGGGGTGATAACAGATTTATGTTGTTATTATGCCACCTCACCTTCTAAAAGAATGACACTTCACCTATTAGGACAAGCTTAGGAGACGGGGAAGAACTTTGGTTAATGGCTGTTCTTTTTTCTAAACAAGTGTGGATTCCTAGGCCATCTGAAACTTGAGGACTTAAGGACGCATTGTATAGCTTTCTCAATCTTAACTGAGCAAATGTGTTTCCTTGAGGGATCACTGCAGAGGTTCGCACAAAGAGAAAACTATCTCCTTCATCCCACTGCCTATTTTATGGACATTTGGAAGGAGAGAGATAAGAGTGTTTGGAAATTCTTCCTCATCCTCCATTTCTGTTAACATTAGGCATTAGGACCCTCTGTACTTTGTTTGAGTGTTACTCTATTTATGATGGGGCTGAGGTAATTATTTTGTAGAATGTGTTATGAGAAGTAGATTTATTCATTTGTCCAGTAATTGGTGCTTGGGATTGCTGTTTCTTGTTAACTTACTTTCTTCTTTTAATAGATGTGATTAAATTTAGTGATCTGTTGGTGTTGATTCTTTTCCCTGTGATGTATGAATTGTGCAGGTGATTGACATTTATAGGGGCTTTATATCTGCTAGAGAAGCCAATGGACCTCAAGTTTCAGAAAAAGGAATTTTGCAAATTTTGTTAGATTTAAGATTTGCTGCTGATGTCCTTTCTGGGGGTGATGCCAGTACGAATGAGGAGGTATCAAGAAGTCCGATGACAAAGTCACATTTCAGGCGGAAGCTGGATCAAAGGCAGACCAGGTCTGTCCTCAGAGAGAGAGTGGATGGGTTGATTGCCCAGCTTTCACAAAACCTGGATCCCATAGATTGGCTCACGTAAAGATTCTTTCCTTTTCCTTTTTTTTTTAATATTTTCTATAGTTCATGTTTGTCAGACCTATTTTCCTCTTATTTCTGGAATTTAATTCTTTTGTAACAACCATAATGTAAGATAGGTTTGAAGTTCTAAGTTGAGCACTCCTTTTATATGTTTTAATATGCTTACCTTCTTGAGCGGTATAAATATTAGTTAGATACTTTGTCTGGAAGATCCTTTTCTTACTGGTATTCCATTTGTACATCCATCTCGATGTTCATGATAGTTTAGCAAGGAAAAAGTATAGCAAAAAGAGTGTATTTAATTTTCATATGGACAAAAGAGCTTTTATTGTGTCAAATGCATCATGAGTGGTTATACTAGCAAGAATGCCTGTATTGGAACCGACGAAGATGTAAATTTTACACATAACCATTTCCTTCTCCTTAATTACCTAATTAATAGATGTATCTTCCTCTATTTCCTGACCCACCAAAATTCTTCTTTTTTTTTCCTCTCTTGACATACCAAAGATACGAGCCTTACCTCTGGGAAAATGAAAATCAGTCATATCTACGGCATGCTGTCATCTTTGGATTCTTTGTGCAACTTAAGCGTATGTACACAGATTCCGTGCAGAAACTGCCCACTAACTCAGAATCGAATATTATGAGATGTTCCACAGTTCCCCGCTTCAAATATCTTCCAATAAGGTTCGTATTTTTTATATATATATTTTTTATTTTTATAAAAAATAGTTTTAGTTACTGGGTCTTTACATTTTACATTGATTATGTTTTCTCTTAGATATCATGTTTTCCACCAAATTATACATTTTCTGCTTTTAATTGTTAATAAATTGGAATTATTTTCTCATAATTTCATCTTGATTATGCAGCGCTCCAGCATTGTCTTCAAGAGGTACAACCAAGACATCCCTTGCAGTTGCTCCAGATGATATTTTGACAAGAAGTTCCTGGAATGCTTACACAAATGGAGAGCTTTCTCGAAAAATTGATTTGGATGATAACTCAAGTTTTGGAGTGGCAGCTCCATTTTTGAAATCTTTTATGCAGGTATATCATCCTCTGCTTCATCCATAAAGTAGTCTTGTATTGCTTTTGTTAAACTGTCAACTGTCTGAAGATGGAAGATATCCTTGAAATGGGCATATCGATAAAACGCTTCTAACTCTTGGACAGCAATACATATGGGTTCAGTAAGTTTTCAAGGAAAAATTGACTGATTTAGGATCATGAGTATTTTGGAATTTTATAGAGTGGAAATTTACTGTTATATGCAGATATTGGAAACTAACATGCAATGGGAGAGAATTCAGAAACAGCTTGAAACTTTTTATACGGAAAGATGCTGGGAAGGGGCACTTGAACTTAGGTCTATGCATCCACCTGCCATTTGGCTAAGCAATGGTGCCAGAAAGCCAAATAGTTATATATTTTAGTCTTGTTAATGTTAGGAGGCCAGCTGTTTGGTGCTGTCACCTTCTTGATTGGGAGAGAATACGAGAAACCTGAGGTTTAAAATCATTAAAAATAAAAATGAAAAATAATGGACATATTCTTAACGGAGAAAGGAAACCAGAAATCTGAAGTTCAAAATCATTAAATTTGAAAAGTGAAAAATAGTGGCCATTAAATACAGAAAATTTTACCTGTCAATATGTTTTCTTATATGCATAAGTGTGGCCTTTTTTGGCTAGTTAGCCATCCAATTGAGAGGTTTTCTTGAATGTCAATTTGTATCTTATGGGCACATCAGTTTGTTCCTTGTGATGTGGCTGTTAAGAAATTATCTTCATGAATATTGTTCCTTATGATGTGGCCATTCTTGTAACAAGTAATAGAAATTGGAAGAGGATTCTTGTAATAAGAAATAA